TAATTATCTTTATACTGGGTTATATTCTTTATCTTTCAGTCTACATTACTGAGTGCACTCAAACCTATAGCTGGCCAGTTGCCTTGCTAGCAGGTCAAAAGCAGAGATGAGCACTTGTGAAATGAGTTATGTTGAAAGTGTTTGAAACGTTGGGGTCACTTTTTTTTTATTTTTTTAAATTAATTATCGAGCAATACATTTCACACACTGGCTTTTGTCCAGCTGACACTAACACAGCTGGTAGCTGCCAAAATCCATTTATATAAGATAAGATTAAGTAACCATTTGGACAGCATTGCATATATCCACAGTTTGTATCGCATAGATCAGCATATATACAACTAGTACTTGTTTAAGATTTTATTTGAACGTAACACGGTGCAGGTACTGCAGACAGGGTTTCTAGTATGTGATAAAACATTAAAACAAAAAGGGCCAGAAGGGTCCAAAATTGAGGCTGCAAAAGCAAGTCAGTCCCCCTAAACTCTGATGGAAAAATGCCCACCTCTGGAGGAAATACACGTTTACAATTTGGTACTAAAACTCATTTTGGTCTGCTCTTCGGCCACAGTGGATCATCTGCCTCGATCTCTCACCCTGTCCCTAGCACCCTCTTCTGTCACACTAACCATCTGCATGTCCTCCGTCACTGCGTCCATGAATATTCTCTGTGCTCTTCCTCCTTTCCAACCTGGCAGCTCCATCTTCAGCATCCTTTGTCCACTATTATGCCTTTCTGTCTGTACAAACCTTATCAGCCTTACCTCACTTAAAACCTGAGCTTTTCCTCTAATTCACTCCCTTCTGATCTTGTCCCCTCCTGGTCACCCAAATAAAAGCTCAGTATCTTCAACTCTGCTACCTCCAGCTCCACTGCCTGTCTTTTTGTTATCAGCTTTCACTGTTACTGTTATCTTCCTGTCACAAATCTACTCACTCCACCTTCCCTGCACTCTCTTCTTCTCCTCTCTTGTGCGCTCTGTTGCTTTGGATGATTTAAACTCATCTACGTTCAAGACTCCTTGCATCTTCACCGATTCACCTGTCTCCCTTTCATAAAAAATAGCATGACTCGCTGTTGATTAATTCTACTAACAGCTTGTGCTCCTCCTTTGTTGATTGAAGTGCTAGTATTATTAATACTATATATCTAACAAGACAGCCACAGCCAAAATGCTAAAGTTGAGGTTCATAAGGAATATCTGTTCCCAACCAGCTGTTTGCAACAGTGCTTAAAAAGTACGTGCAGGAAAATGAAAGACCTGGCAACCCTGGCTGCAGGCAGTACTGAGAGCTTCTTCAGAGCCCATCGCTACCATTTCCAAATTACCCCAGTAATATTTTTCTACCTATGTTCTGTTTAAAGTTTGCATATTGGCACAAATTTGTCAACAAAAATGCTAATACCGACTGATCTGTGATAGGCCCAGTAAATGCTACAACGCTTCTGACTTAGAGATGAGTTGCAAAAGGACAATCTCTGCAGATAGCTGTTTTCACTGTTTCCTGGGCATTATGAGCTTTCATACAGAATACAGTAAATATAAAGCATGAGGATTTCTGGTTGCTGGGGTGACCACTGAATGAAGACGGCATGAAGGTTTGTGAGGAAGTAGATTTTATATAGTTAGTCATTCACACTTAATAGCTGACGTGTAACCGGTATAAGGCTTCAAACCAGGGCTTTTTCTAACACCTAGCAGTCTTACCAAACTATAAAGCTAACCTGCAACATATTGCACCTTTTTCACAATATACAATAACTATGCCTTTTTTCTTGGTAACCTCCTATATGTAAACCTTTGTTATAATGAATGTTATTACGGTTATATATTTTATACACAGCACTTCAGCGTCGTGGAGGACAAATAGACACAGCTAACACCGGAGGGATCGTTAACTAGTGTTTAAGGCTCATGTGTGTTTTTAGGAAGAGAGAAAACCCCACTGTGGATAATGGATTTTGTGTGCAACCCAGAAAACAGTTAGTGAACAAACTGTGGTGCGTTTGAGGTCGGCGCTCGTGTCATTTCGAATGATCCAAGCGCAATGAGAGAACACGTGTTAGCAATGCCAAACCAGAGCCTGTTATTATTCTACCAGGTTCATGGGGTTTCTGTACTGTAATGACTTACCTATTGCACTTAAAATGTCTGACGCCTCATTTTTTCATATTTAGGATAGCTAACATTAAAACTGTACCTGTATTTTGATTTTTGTGTGAATTTTTTCTTTTTTCTTGTTTTTTTTTCTTTTTTTCTTTTATTTTCAGTGCCGATATGTGAATGTTGATAACATACTGTCAGAATAAATTTATTTAATTTGCTTTACTTTTATTATCCAGTTGAAACTTGTGCATTATTACTTCATAAGACATTTGCATTAATGTTTAGTCTAATCTGGTATTAGTTCCTATTATTACTGAACTAAGACTTACTTTACCCTGTTAATAAAGCATTTATATAATGCATTCAGTCTCTTTGTATTTGTTGTGTAATTAAACTGAGTAAGTAACACTTCCTGACTCTAGAAATAGTTTATGCATGTGCGGATCAGACCCTAAGGCCTCCTCTCACACAAGCTTCTCTCCCTGACCCACTAATCCTATTGCAGGTGAGATAATGTCATGTCACACAAATTAGTTGATCTCCATTCCTTTTTTCACTGGTGGCTGCAAGCTGTTGGTTATGACGGAAATAATAAGACTATGGAAGTGGCCACAAGGTAGGAAGAGTTTGGTCATCCAGGAAGCGCTCAGAAGAAAGCCATTGCATAGAAATAAAGTATCAATCCTGTCGCGCTTGTATTGATCCACACTATTGATATTTGGATTTATAGGCCCGACTCTATTGTCTACTGATCGTTCCACCAAGTGAGGTGTTTCAGTCATACAAAACTGGAAGGAGACCCTGGGGAAGCTGGAGAAATTATATCACAATACTGAGTTGGGAACACTCCAGCACACCATAGGATGAGTTGGAGGTGATGGCTGGTAAGAGGAAGGCTAGGTTATCCCCTGCCCAGAGAATTGACTGCATAAATCAGATATGGGCAGGGATGTTTAACTCATTTTGCATTGTCGGCTATATACAAGTCGGATATATAAAGTGTATGTATTTGTTTAAAAATATAGGGACTAAAAGTAAAAAGTTGTCAGAAAAATAACTACTCAAGTAAAGTACAGGTATCTGAAAAGTTAACGAAGAAAGTAAACAGTAACCAAGTATTTGTACTTTGTTGCTTCCCACCTCTGTGCCAAAGTTTTTAAAGTGACTTTAGCTGATGTATTATTGGAGTAGTAAAAAACCACAAGGCTTCAGCACATTTTGTGAGTACAGGGAAAGTTTTCTCATCAACAGCTACTGTACTTGCACGGCTTGATTTGTTGGGACAATGCCTGAAGGATAAAACGCTGCTGTTCTACAAGGTATAACATCATTTGTGTTGTAATAGAAGTTGAAATAGTGGTAGAAAGTAAAGTACCGACATCGTATAGTTATATATTTAGGTATTTGGATATACTTGGGTTCCTCGTCTATCAATCTGACCGCGTGGCCTAATGGATAAGGCGTCTGACTTCGGATCAGAAGATTGAGGGTTCGAGTCCCTTCGTGGTCGACTTTTGCTAACGTCGCAGCCGCCAAATTCGTTTTCGTTTCAGTTGGTTTTGAGACAGCTAACCTTCCACCAAACGACAGCCGTTTTTTTGGAATGTTTGTGTCCTTGAGTCAATGTTAAAATTAAAAGCAAAACGAAATGAAGATGTTGTGTATGTGAAACGGAACTCCTAGTGAAGCTAATAATGATTGATGGTATCCGTCCAAGCGAACGCTAACGTTATGGTTATTTAACTTACTAGCGAAAACGATTATTCTTTAAGATTAAGACACTAATGTTACAAAAACTAGCAATCTTATCAGTCAGTTCTGGCAACAACGAACACGTACAACATTGAGTCAAATACAGAAATAATCACCCCCTTCACCGTCGGCAGCAGAGTGGCGCAGCGGAAGCGTGCTGGGCCCATAACCCAGAGGTCGATGGATCGAAACCATCCTCTGCTAAGCCTCCTTTTTTTCATGAAAGAATAACCCTTGGTTGGCTCTTCTCTCTTCAACAAAGTGCTGTTTATTATTACTATAAGCGTCCTTTTATACGTGTCGTTGAACCTAGTGTGTTAAAGTAGCATTCTTAGTTAAAAGTAGTCTTCACTTAAAACATTGTTGGTGTTTAGTATGAAACGCTTTCAGTGTTTATTTTACAAACAACAAGAAAAACAACAACAAAAACCCAATATGTACATCAACCACTTAATAAATAGTATAAAATCACAGGATTGATTATTATAGCCACTAAATTGCAGGAGGGAGAAGTATAACAGTCATCCACTTAGTCAAAATCCACACGTCTGTTCTGCTTGGTAGCTGAATGAATCTTCTTCTTTCTGAGGCGCTCATTGTTCCTCTTTTCCAACCTGCACAACACATTTCAGGTCAAATTTAGCCATTTTTAAAGTAGATCAACAACCAAATAACACCACTCTAAGCAGTACCTTGCTGCCCTGAGAGCGATGTCTTCAGCTGTTGGCTCATGGGGCTTCTCACTGGCTTCTGCTATGATGGCAGAGATTTTCTGTATGCAGTCAGAAAGGTTTCTCTGCTGACTCCTACTCAGCTCTGAGGTCACCAGCAGTTCCCCGGCCTTAGTGATTCGGGTTTTGTTCTGCACAGCAACATCAAAGTGAGGAGTAAAAAAAAAATCTGCAAAGAGAATAACTGTATTTTCTGTTAACTGTGATGCAAGAGTAGAAATGAATGAAATTGACATCAACAAGTCAGACATATTTCTTAACTAACTGTATGTGAAAACAAACCTTTTCAAGGATTTTTTTCCGAACATCTTCTGGGATCCATTCTGCTGTTTGCACATGGAATCGGACTTCTGCTTTTGTGCTGACTGTGGATTGAAAATGGTAGACCATCTTATTAACATGCACTATGTTATGCACTAATTATGCACCAGAAAGCATTTATTTTTCATTTAAAATTAAACTGTGGTAACCTTTGTTGACATGCTGACCCCCAGGACCGCTGCTTCTGCTGTAAGATACCGTCAAACGTTCTAATACATAACACAAGACCATATGGATTAATACACCGTATAAATGACATGACATTTATATGTGATTCCTCTTGAAAATATGTTTGTTTGTCCTTACCTACTGGAATGTGAACTTGGGTTTCCTGAAAAAAGTCAAAATAAAACCTGTTTCTCGATGGCAACAACTTAAACTACTCAAACTAAACACACCCTGGGATAATACACTACGTTCAATACGTCCAATAAGCTTTATTCGGAAACAGTAAAGTAGTCCTTTTTAAGGGACTTTTCAGAGGCATTCTTCCTACAACAGAAAGACAGAAACTGTTCGCGTTTATTTTACTGACCTGTGTGCCGGCTGACTCTCGGGTCCCGTAACTAACACTCGACTGAAAGGTGTTGTTAGTGTGCCTCAGTACAACATTCCGTAATGTTACATGCTGCCTAATCACGTTTATTCCTACACAACGACAAAACACATAGGAACGTCGCGCAATGGAGGCCGCCATGTTGGAGTGACGTCTTCACGACGGTCGAAAGAACGTCGTGTAGCTGTTGCTGCGTCTCGTGACGGTAGCACATGTATGTGTGCTGGTATATTCCACACCAAACGTCGGGATTTATTAGTAGTATTAACGCTGTGTGTGTGCTGGTGAGATACATGTTAATTTACATTTGGGTTTGGTCCACATGTTTACAAGCAGAAACATTAAGAAAAAGTTAGGTTCCACCGAGATTTGAACTCGGATCGCTGGATTCAGAGTCCAGAGTGCTAACCATTACACCATGGAACCACACGTGCGAGTGTCGATTTTTTATGTATTCAACTACGAGAAAGAAAGATCACGCTACTACCAATGACACATAAATTATTAATACAATATTAACTCACATGATGCAGAGGCCTGAGGTTGCTTAATGGCTCCACTAGCTGGCATTTTACCATGTCACCTGTTGCGACGGACAAATCCTGTTTTTCCCGCTTTAGTCTGAACTAGGTTCTGACATTAGGGTTCCGAGGTATCTGGAAGGCGACCCTGACCTTTTTTAATGACGCAAATGGAACGGATCTCACTTTCTCACTGACCTTCGTTGTGGAAAGTACTCGGAGGAGACGGCTAGCTGGAAAAAGTGCAGATTGTGCAAAACTGACAGGAGAAGAAATTTACCTTTTGGACAAAGTGCTGAATTGCTCAGATTAAACAGCGGCTCTAAAATGAACAAGGTAGAAGATACACACTTTGATTTATCGCACACATTTGAACCAAAACATAGGGCCACTCATATTTGTCTTTCGATAAAATCCTTTATAAGTGATTATGAGATACGGAGGGAACCTTTTTGGGTTAGGGTTAGGGTTAGTATGTTTCCTCTGCTACCTGTAAACTTAAATTAATTGTATCTCTAGGTTATTTGTTTAAACTGAATATGAACAACCCATGGTAATGTCAGGGTTGCTAGCTAGCAAACAACTACAGGCATCTTGTTTGTATTAATGGCATTACCATCAAACGGTGACTACATTTAAATTTAAAATGATAGCTAAAAATGAAGAAGAACATATGAGGGATTTTGTTTCTCTTTATTTTAAATAATTATTCAAATGTGGTCTTTACACGATCTTTTTGCGTATTTCTGTTATGACCTGTTATTAAATCTGGTAATATTGCAACTTCTGTTAACATCTGTTGTCTGCATCAATGTAAGACTCATCAGATCATCAATCTGTTTGAGTAAAATGTACTTTTAACTCATTTCAAACAATAAAAACAGTAGAATATTTGCAAAAAAATAAACAAATGCCCCCATAGCAAC